GAGAATTTAATCATGAATTTTGGGCATTGATTGTAGCATCAAGTGATAAAGAGTAGTTATAATGACCAGTCAAAATCTAAGCGCTGGAAACTGTTTTGAGCCCCTTTATAACATGGAAAATGTTTTCTATTTCTTAGGTAAAATGTATAATATCAAACACTGTTTTCAAGCATATTTGCCAAAATTTTTCACTTGTTATATTTTCTTATTATTTTTTGTTTGTTGATGATATTCATAATCTTCAGTGACCCCATATCATGAAACATCCACTCACCCAGGATTGGCTCCAGGATTTTGCCATGAGTAGTATTCATTCATGAGATCAATGTGGTCAAGGGATTGATTATAGAAATAGCTGTGATTCACAAGAGGAGGAGTAAACAGCCAATTGGATGCATCTGATGAACAAAGCAAAGTATTATTATTAAATATTTATTATTATTAACAAATGTAACCACTAAAAACTGAAAAACTAAAACAATCAATTCAAGGTGAACTTTCCAATCAATCGTTTTATCATGTGCCATTATGAAGCTGATTTTTTGGGGGGAAAAAGGTCTCTTTTAAAAATACTCTTCCCCCTCGTGAAATGGCAAATTAAGATGTTACCCTTAATAAAAGATTTATTAAATTTCTATTTTGAGTATGTGTACATGGTGTCAAATATTCTTATTAACGAAAACTCAAGAAATCATATCAAGCAAATTTATACATGAATGACAACAAATATACAAATCAAATTGATTAAGGTTTAACAAGTTTCACTCCATGGCTTTACATGTATATTTTCCATTCTTGTTCAAAAAGATAAATATTAGTGATTTATTGGCTAACATTTACTAGTTAAGAATCAAAAGTTAATTTTAATTAATTAATATTCACTTTTTAAACATTCACCAGAAAGTTTACTTTGTTAAAGGCCAGCTTTAAGAATTAAAAGCAATCTTTTTTGAATTAATGAAAAAGAAACTTAAAATATCTATTAAAGTATTTAATATATAAATACAAAAAGATCTGATTCAACAATTACTTTTCACAAAATAATTTAATATTTAATAACAATGGGTTTAACCATACTTAAGAGTGCTAGAACTTTTACGGCAGACGGAATCCACCAAGTACATTTCTCATCTGGAGGCAGTTCATTGCTTTTCGTTGGAAACAGACGAACACTAATAAACTTTAAGGAAGAAAGAAGTCTTGTTACTGTCAGAGAATGTAAGACAGTTGAGTGTATAATCTTCAATAAAAATTAATTTAACACCTGTTTGTTTGCTGATTGGGATATGAAATAATTCAGAGCAGAAGAGGGTTAATTATTCTGTAGTTTGTTGGAAACAATAATTAATAGTAATGTATAGTACTTATTATATTGTTCTGTTTTGTTTTAAACTCATAATGTTACTTTATTCTAAAGGTACAGGATGGTGTGTTTCCTTTGCTTTACCTACCACTCAGGTTATAAGCTTTTACTCAATCATTAACATCAATACTTAGTACAGAAGACAAGCATGTACCTTCTCTATACAGTCTCTTTTTAAATCTTCAAAGCAACAATTACCCCAGCAGTACATTAATTGTATTATGTAACAATCACTTAGCAGAACATTAGTTATACAAAATATTCTGACACACTTTAATAGACTATTTCTGAGTTGCCTTTTGACTCTGTGTCAAAACAAGTCTACATGCAAAACCATTCACATATGAAAATGAGTTCTGCCTACAAGTTCATTTTCATGTAAATCAAACTCGTTTTCATAAGAAAGGTTTTGCACAAGGACTCATTTTGAAACAGAGGCACAAGGGAACTTGGAAATGGTCTATTTGGTACTCTTGAAAATGATAGTGGAGCTCCTGCACGCCAAAGGCGTGCGAGCAGAGCCCCATACCTTAGAAATGTGGTAACCCATCGATCTGAAAAATTTTGGTTGTCACGTGACTGTCCGTACGTACATACGGCTGTCCGTACGCCAAGACCTTCAAAACTAAGAGAGTAGCACCATTACCATAGCTACATCTTTGATTTTGTGTCCCCGCCATTGCTAATTGACAGCTGTCAAAACAAGCTATAAGCTGACCAGTATCAGGTGACTATATCGCGGGCTCAAGTTTAGAGCTCATTGAGGTTGCGTGTTTTTTTAAAGTTGACCGCTGACCAGTTACTGGTGTGCCGATTGGATCGCGGGCTCAAGTCACGTTATTTCTCTGAGGGAGAAGGAAGGAGTACTTGCAAAGGCAAAATTTTGGCGCAAACTAACCCCTGGCGCATTGTTGAGTTTTCTTTTGACAAATTCCTTGTACAATGGTCTCTTGGAAAGTCCCTAATATATTGCGTACGTAATTTCTNCTGTTAGAGAAGACACTTGTCGTAGAAGATGAGCAAAGATTACGTAAGTTGAGGATTTGTTGAACTGAGGATTCTGAAATGATAAAAATAGTGTTGCACGTACTTCAAAGGACTCGAAAAGTGGTTTGTGTGACTTAAACGTATTAATCCTGCTAAACTAGACTCACATAATATTTTTCCTTAAGGTGGCTTATTGTACTATGAACGGTTTTGAGAGATGTTTTTGTAAAATGTTCCAAGATGTTTTTCCATGCTTTGATCTGTCTGCCAGTACTGTCTGTAACCATCAAATGCATCATTTTAACAATACACTGTGTAATAGCTCAAAATCTGTCTCATTCTGTGCTCATTGATTTTTAGTAATGACATGCATTTGGAAGACAGCACATTATTACCTGTAAAAGGATTGTGTATGCTCTAAGATCATCTTTTGTTCTTTGTCTGTACAAGGTGAGAAAACAAACCAAAATCAATGATTTTAATTTTTATTATATAAAAGTGTACAGTTCCCAACTATATGGGTTAGCCAAGACTGTTTGACCAGAGTTCACATGGTATGTTTGTCTATACCATAATCAACTTTTTGAGTGATTGAAAAATTTAAGATGACTGTGCAATTCCTAAGTTAATACACATTCCTACACAACATACTTATATTCAAGCTACTGCTTGAAAGCCACTTGCTATGATGTAATAAGTTGTGTAGATCACAAAAGATGTAAATTCATTAGATGTTACCTTTTGATGTCTTGCAACAGGCTATTTACCACAGACTTGAGAACATTCTTGTGCACATCTTGAGGCTAAATTATAAAATCAAAAAGGATATCAAAAAGGATATACTAAGAAAAAGGAAAAAAGGCTAATATGTACAACATGAAAGAACTCTATGAAAAGATGTGTCATGTAGAAGGTAATGAGAATCAGAAACCAAAGATCAGCTGTTTCAGATACTATTTCATTCAAAATGGTTTAAGTGACATCCTTAAAGGAACTCAGTCACAGTGTTTTGGTGATGTACAAGATAGAAAAGATAAGATAGACAGAAAAACACTACAGAACGAGATAATAATAAACCATAAAGGAACAAGGATATCTAAGGATGGAGGAGATTAACACAGATTACAAACGACGAACTTAAAAAATATAGATGCGCAAACCATGACATAGCCCAGTGAAGGCAAATTTCTCACTGCATGCCATGTTCACTGTGCAAGTGTCTACAGCTGCCATAATGCAAGCAAACAAATGCAAACTGTAATGAAAAAGGTTATTTAGATTACCACTGTCTTGACACTTCAAGTGATAACATTCAGAGCATTGTTCTTAGCCATGGCTTATAATGGTTTCATGGTTTTCATGTGAGAACTAAGCATAGTCAGATCATCACTTTAAATATTCTTAACTATATTTATGTTGGGTAGACTAGAGGCTTTTTTAATTTCCTCATTTTTTTTAATATACAGTTGCAAAGATCCAGCCTTCAAAAATAAGCACTGTTATACAAATAGCCCTACTGTAGGTTGATTAACCTTTTGCCAGGGCAATATAATTCTGTACTCAAAATGCAAATATAATAAACCACTGCATGAACATATTTTAATTAAAATTACAATTACCAGAGTAAGGACAGTTTCATATGTTATTCTGACAAAGTCATGATCAATACCACTTTCACCAAATTCATCAGCGTTATAGTCATCTTTTCTCTGCAATAAATAACATCAAGTACAACAGAAGTTTATTACACACGCTAGTAAAATATTATAACTGCAACATTCGTGAAAACTGTGTAGTCAAATGCCAGGATGGGAACCTCCAAGGACCAATGTAAATAGTGAAGGTCAAAGAACACGCAACACAGAAGGTGACTCTAGTAGAAGGAAAGTTACATCAGATTATACATCAAGATGATCCCTAGTGGGACAAAGGCCAGGGGCCCACTTCTTGAAGGTCCCAAAAAGTTTTTGTACCTGAAAAGTCGTAGCAAAATCTCAAACCTTATGTCTTCAGAGCTATTTCATGCACATATTCTTAATATGAACAGAGGTTCTTTTCATACAAGAAGTCTCAGGCGCATACATCTATCTGTCTTAAATACTGATTAACTAAAAATCGCTTTGCCGGCCCGAAAAGTTTGCGGGCTTTTGAGAAACGGCCCCTGATTTCACAAGTTGCACATCAGAAATGAACTTGGAGTAAGTAAATAAGTTATTTGTATTTGCCATACCATGAATACAGCCGTCATCTCAGAAAAAGAATCAAATGTTGTTGTCAAAAATTGAAGAAGAGTTTGATAGTCTCCTGTAGCCAAAGCTGTCCTCATGTCATTTCTGAAATTTAGAAATTTCCCAACTGTTATTTATATTAGTCTTATATGTACATATTTAGTCAAATATTAAGTCAAAAGAACATGAAATCAATAGCAGATTTGCATGTTGTCGTCATTTGACTACAACTACCAGAATTTGTTTTGTTTTTTCTTTATTATCTAAATTTTGTATTCCCAGTGGGGTTTAAATAACAATCGCCCTAATTAGCATAAGGAAGAGTTAAAGTGAAGGATTCTGGAAGTTGTCATCAAATACGCCATCACGCAAATCGCTTATTAAAAACCTAAATTTGTGTAGCTTATCATATACCTGCCATTATTCAAATCCTTTTGATACAAGAATGTATTTTCTCCCAACTAGCCGCTGATGCGGTATTGCTGTCTCGACATTGCATTTAGTTTATAATATTAAGTTAGAGTAGTCTTGGATTCAAAAGAAATTTAAGGCATTAAGCATATTGCTCATGATCAAACTGGAACAAGTCTGCATTTAAATGTAGAGCCCTGTGAGCATATGCATGTATTCATGACCTGGCTAAGCAACATTTAACAGCTGGTCCTGCAGCTGCTGTGACTTCCACATGCTATCTTCTAGAGAGAAAACGTGACCTAACAAGGCAGCAGAAAAGGAATACAATGTATGTGCAACTTAGCATAACTCCACGTCAAATAAAGTATCTTATCTTGTCTTATCTTGTCTAATCTTATCAGAACACATCCAGATGAAGCCTTGTATTTTGTGTGCTAACCTTCAGTAACATTATTAGTCCATTGAAAGTACTATGACTTGTATACAAAATTTTAATATGTCATTCAGAAACTGAATTCTCCAGAAAATGTGAGGTACATGTAGATGCAGGGCTCAAAAAATAGTGCTGCCCACTCGTCCAGGACAAGTAGATTTTCCTGCCAGCCAAGAAACAATTCACTCTAACTTGCCCAATGGGTAAGGGGCCAGACAAGTCTTCTGCCAGCTAAATTAAAATAAAGTAAACTAATACTTGCCCAGTGCAAGCAAAATTTGGGAGGTGCTTGTTAGAAGGCCAAGCAGGAAGTGAAGCTTTTTCGGACCCTCTAGATAGCAAACAATTTGTAGCAGGTGAAGAGGAACATTCACTACCTTCCAAAATAGAGAGGGACATCAGTATTTCCGCCAGAGCCCGCCATTGCGGAAATCCCGCATTACAATCAGAGATGGCCCCCAGAAAAACGAAAAAAGGGCCAATTTGGCCCTTTCCATTTACAAGACTGCAGGCTTAACACAGGCATAATATTTTAAAAGTCATCCAGGGCTCAAAATTGTGATCGATACCGTTGCCAATGCAACTAACATTTAATCCTTGGCGACCAAAAATTCTGGTTTAGTCGCCATAATACGGCATAATGGAGACTACATTTCTCTGTGTTGGCAATCAGTAATGGTTATTTTGTCACACATTATGACCTAGAAAATCATATTGAAAGATCTTTGCTTCTAAAACATTCAGCATAAGAAAAGTCAATCCGTGCTTTTGCTTTGCTGTATTGATTCTCTCATATCAGAAAACTTCCAAATGGCTGAACGTGTTTGAAATCGCCCTATAATGCATTGCAAACCCTTGATCATTGACTAC